AAAAAAAAATACTATTGGCTATAATGAAGGTCCTTCGAGAATTCTGGGATGCGTGATCGAAAATCTATAAAACGAGAAAAAAGATTTTCGGTTTCTTTCGAATAGATGATGATGGAAATCTTCAAAAATTTTTCGAAAAAAACAAGATGTCGAGTAAAAGTTTTTGTCGTTTGTGAGAGATTAGATCACGAGCTATCTTTCCGTGCATTGATCTTAATTTCGGTCATTCTGACGACAAGTGTCTTTTTTAACGAGGTGATCTTAATAAGATTTCTTGTTTCATGATAATAACAATGACTTATTATACAGAGTAATAGATAGAAATTCTCAATATTGAATTATTCATATCTTACCGAGAAAAGACAAAAGCGGCATTTTATTTCGTAAAAAATCTCTATTAGAATTGCATACTCCGATTAAATATTCCAGACATGAAATAGTAACAAATCAGCTTTTAGTATAATTAACATAATTTATACAAAAGTCGATCATCATTATAGAATGTTTACATAGTAGATCAATCATGCATAAACTCACAGATCTGATTGATTGATTGATAAATATCTATATAAATTTCATTATTATTTTATTGAAGTCAAAATCTATTTCAACATTATCTATCTTTTCTATCATAATTGATATTCTTAGAAAAATTATTTCTACACTTTAATTTTATTCTAAATTTGAAATAATAAATTTTTATTTATTTTAGTTGGTCTACTAATTTACAATTAGCTCGTATAACTTATTGGGGTGGAATGATATCAACTCCAAATATTATTTTACAAAATACTATAAAAGATGCATTACTTGAAAGTGGTTGTCCAATTAATATAATAGATGACCTTATGAAAAATGCACATGAACAATATTGGCCGCAAGGACTTTCAACACTTGGTTAATAATCTTTTTTTTCTAATTAATATATATATACATTTTGTGTTTTTTTTTCTTCATAGAAACTCGACAATTGAATAGACAACATTATGAAAGTTATGTATGTCGACGTATTAGTAATGAACAAGCAATTGTCGTACTTAGTTGTGATAATCGACATATGAATCAATCAATGAGTAAGACAAAAAAGAAATTTTCTTTTTTTTTTTTATTTTCAATTGTTTATTTAGTTAGTGAACCAGGTATTGTGATAATATTCTCACATGGTGTTAAATGATATCTAATTTATTGTTCTGTTTTTGTTTTTGTTTTTTTTTGATTATCAATATGAAGCATCATAATTTTCTTTAATAAGAAAATAAATTTTAACAGAACTATATTGATTTATATTAACTATTTCATAATGACGAATAAGAAATATAGCAGCTAAACCATACATTAATGTTGGTATACCTAAATTAAATATTTTAAAATAAGTATATAGACGATTTTCATAATATAAATCATTTGTTTTTATTCGTTGTGTACAATGATATTTGATATAAGGAAAACAACCTAAAATTCAAATAAAAATAAAATATAAATTTTTATTTTTATTTTTACCAGTTCGTAATATATGATAATTTCTTCCATCAACATCAAATTCAAAATGACTTTTACCAAATTGATCATTTAAACAGTCGTATTGACGTATAAAATATGATGTCCATGGTGGATAATTTCGTTGTCGAATATAACATCGAAGAATTTTAGAAGCTTTTGGTACGATTTTCGAACGAAATAAATAATTGTATAAACTGATTAACATGTTGAAAGACTAAATACATATCTAGAAATATTCATATCAAAACAGTAAGTAGACATAACTCGAATTAGCTTATTTTAGTATCAGTCAATAAAAATTTCAGTTCTGATACGAGGCTTAGAAAAAAAAATTTTTTGTATGCATAACGCTTAAAATTATATTCAATTACCGTCGAAAAATTTGAAATATCCTGCAGTTATATTCCTTGATCGATTTAATTTCTAATCTGTTTCATGTGAAATACTCAATCACAACGAAACAAGAATCAATTTATCCATGTCTAACAATAAGATATGATAGTGTTTGCCACTGTCAGCAGTTGTTAATAATCAAGACGTGAAATGTTTTGTATTTTTATAAACTTTAGAAAATAATTTTAAGGCTAACGAGCACTACGAAATTATTGGAAGTATTCTACTAGATGGATAAAACATTATGGATTAGAACCGGAGTTATTCTCCTCTTTCTGAATAAGAATTAAGAAGTTTTCGGTCAGCTTTTACTCTTTGAATGAATTAAAGAACTTGTTTAGATGGAAAATATTTTTGTAACTAAAGCGTTGAAATTTTTGTTTATAGATCAGCTTGTAGAGTAAAATCTGTTCTACAGCATGCACTGTTTCATTTTCTTTTTATTTTCGGAGAAAGTATCTAATCTGTTATTTTTCTATTATTCTCATTTTTGAGAAATGAATCTTTAATGAAAGAAAAATGTTTATAGATTCATTTGAATAATATCATTATTTTGTAAAGAACTATTCACTCGATGAAATCACCACTTTCAAAGTTTTTAGTATGTTCGCAAATAAATTTATAAGGTTAACAAAAATTCTTCTATTCACTATTCAAACTAATCATTTAATCTTCTTAGATGTTTCCTTCCGATTTCAATAACTTTTTTATCGATAGATAGCGCATAGCAAGTCTCGATATCGGGCGACTTTTTTATATTTTTTTCTCAATAGACAGTTATTCCATATCCTTCGGCTTTTATAAAAAGTGATGACTAAGGAGGGATAGCGTGGAGAAGCTTCCTCTTCAGGAATGAACCAAATCTCAGAAAAAAGTTATGCCAAAAAAGGATAAAATCGAAGAGCCAGGCGGCCCGTTTCGAAGTCTGGTGCATAGTGTTCTAGTAAAAAATTCTAAAAAGAAATGGTTTTCTATTGAATTTTTCTCCTGAAACTACTTCCACTTAAAGATGTTCACAGACACTAATTTGACAAAATATTTCAGAATATTTAAACTTCATATTTTCGACATATGAACTTTTCAAAAATTAAACGCTTTTTCGAGTATCTTGTACAATAGAAAAACATTTTAAAAAGTTCAGATTTTTAAAATATAAAATCTAAATATTCTGAAATTCTTTGTACAAACTAATTATTTTCTCAAAATACTTTTAAAAAATGCATGAAAACGATGTTGCATTTCAAGGAAATCTTGATAAAAAATCAACGGGGTTCTATATAATTTGGTCGAATAGATTACACAATTTTGTTTGCTCAACATTGACATATGAGAAGATAATCACTTGAGTCGTGCCTTGAACTATAGATCTGAATCAAAATTACATCGAAATGAGACACTATTTTCATGAATGATAGATCTTAAAATAATTAGTTCTCTTCTTACGATTATCGATTTATTAAGATTACACAAACTCATCTCTAATTCTGGCGCGACTATTATTTTATATGTGAAACTTTCAATTGAAGGACAATTAGAAAAGATGATTTTTTCTGACAAGCTGAGATCTATTTGAAAATAGACATATCGAAATTTGCCAAAACCTTTTCGATAGAATTTTTTTAAAGTTCATAATCAGAAAGAACTAACATTTGTCTAGAGTACTTAACAAACGAATCGGCAATAGAGCTCGTCAGATTGGTACAGGATCCAACAAGCTCTAGAGTAAGCAATGAACAAAGATTTTCTTCATATAAATCTTGATACAACTTATTTAGAATAATTTTCATCGAACTTTCTATAATTTATCATAATGAAAAGAAAAACATAAATATGAATATATTTCATAAGTTTTTTTTTTTATTATTTATATTTATAAACAAGAAATCTATACATTAAGACATTAATTGTGTTGGTCGTTTATTTGTATTACTACTAATCGATTCCATTGATGGTGTAAAAATACTCATATCAGGTTCTTCTTTAAAATCCATCATAAATTCTCCAACTTTTGTTACAATTCCATCTAAAAAGAGAAAATAATTATTAAATTAAAACAAAAAAAAAAGAAAAATTTCGATTATACTTCTTCCTGGTTTAACACATAATTCATTTTTAAAAACTTGTGTTATACAATTTTGTAAACGAAGTATATCTCCTGGTGATATTAATTTTCCTGTTGTATTCCAAACATTAAGTGTTACTGAACCAGTTCGATCAGCAACTTTAAATGAATGTATTTCATGACCTTCACGTGTTTTTTGAGGATTAGCTTGTATACGTAAAACAATAACAAGTAAATTAATTTGTCGTTGATTTGGTTCAAGTTTTGCAATAACTGTTGTCGGTTCAAATCGATCTGGTGGAGGAAGATTAACTACAAATGGTGGTGTATTATCAGTATCCATCTAGAATATAGATTTTTTTTTTTTTTTTTTATTGTTAATAAAAAAATAATAATTTTTTATTTCGGTAATGGAATAGTATATGTAAAAAAATCATCAGCAATGAATACTGGTCTTGATGTTCTTTGTTTTGCTTGTTCTAAAAGAAGATCAACTGTTACATCATCATCATCCTCATCTTCTTCGTCGTTGTTGTCATCTTCTCTCTTTTGTTTTTTATTTAGATTTTCTTTATTTTCTATTGTATTTGATTCAATTGTTGTTTTTGATTTATAACGTTGACTAAAATGATTTAATAATAAACATTTAGCATCACATCTTTCAGCTAATAATGTTGCTATTGATGGTGTTGAATGACCAAAATCAATAGCTTTTTCATGAAGACTATCATCATGTGTACATTCATGAACAAGAACATCACATTGTTGAGCAAATGGAATTACATTTGATGCATCAGAACAATCACCTAATATAACAAGACGACGACCTGGTCGTGATGGACCAACATAATCTGTTGGAGAAAGAATTCGACCATCATCAAGTGTAACAGTTTCACCAAGTTTTAAACGACTACAAAATGGACCTGGTTTTATACCTGATTCTTGAAGTTTTTTTATATCGAATTTTCCTGGAAGATCATTTTCAACTATTATATACCTAAAAACAAATCAATATTATATTTCAAATATAATCTATCGTTTCTCAAAGTATTCATTTATACACTACAAATTAAATAGAGATGTGTGGGGCGAATTTTTTTTTTTCAAGGACTACTCCCAATAACTTCTTTTTCAGTAATTTCAGTCATAGTCGTGATAAATCCAGTGTAGTTCTGGTCCCAGCTTTGGGAAGAATATTTCAGAATTTAGTCGTATTGTGATTGATTCAGATGACGAATATTACTTTTCTCGGTCATCTCTTCTGAGTTTTCTCGTGATTTAAAGGATGTCATATAATAACTCAGGATAAATTGTCAAAGACATGTTTCAAGAGGTTGAAGACTGAAATTTTTCTCATATATATATGTCACAGTTGACATGGGAATTCAGTTGAGTTTGGAATGCATGTTAATACTATGAGTCACACGATAATTAATGTTTGTTTACTATTGTATTCAACTTTTGTAATTTTAGCGATTCTAAATGATTGGTCGCACTTCTATGATTTATTTTAACATATTTACATATAGAACATTCTTATTTTTAACCATTCTTATTTAGTGGGTATTGGAATTTTATGAATTTTATCCATCTCCTTATAATTAATCGATTGATGTTCGTTGCTATGGCACATTCAATCAAGAAACACATTCTATATCTGTTTGTTTTTAATTGCATAAATTTATTTTTCATGTAAATCTCTTACAAAAAACTGAGCATTCTTAATTCCAAACTGCAATCTTACATTGATAAACTTTTTCACAATAAGTCTATCGAATAGATAATCAACAATCTGTTTATAGTCCAATAATTACTTAATCTATCCAACATCAGATCGGCTGCTATTCTAAATAGCAAGAATCATTCCGTTTCAATTTTTTAACAACGAATTTGCTAACACTAAACATTTAACCAATCATTCAATCCTCCCATATCACGAACATCGAAAAATAACCTATCTTATAAAAA